ATTTGGTAATCATTAATTTACTTAGGTTTTTAATATGCTTTACTTTTCTTCACACAACTCTTTTTGCCTTTAAAATAATCTTTGAGAATAAAATGATTTAGATCTTTGTAGCTATATGTGTGTATATATACATGCATATATACTAAACTTTCCTAAATATTCAAAAGAACACTTTGCAAGTACATTTTATTTTTAAACTCCAGCTTTCTATTTGGTAAATCTTTTATTTCTAATAAATGCAATTTTGTCAGGTCACTACATTTTGAAAATAACCTTAATACTCTTATAGTAAACCACTGCAGACTAAGAATTTTCTATAAATGCAGAACAAAGGCAAAAAAAAGTGTGAAATTTGAATCCACACATAATTAACATGTATAAAATAGAATTTTATTCACAATATATAACTGTGATTAGCAGTTACATGACTTTGACATATCCTTGTACATATTAACTCATGTACTCAGACTTAGAAAATACTTGTTTGCACTTTGAAATTTAAAAAAAAGGTGCAAGCTTTAAATATTGTCGGTCGCCACATTGCTTCTTTATAACTAACTCCATCGGCATTACTTTTCACATTATTTTAATACTAAAAAAAATTAAGCTAAAAAATAAAAAATGCTTTAAAAACTCTTGATGCTGTTTTGTCAACAATCTGCAACACCATTCCCTGTGAAGGAGAAAAACCACTGAGCAAACATTTCACAAATTCTTATATAGTACATGGATGAATTAGTAAGGGCATTTCTCCCCCCCCCCAAAAAACCCCGCCAAAAAAAAAACACCCACACAAACAAACAAAAAAACAAACAAAGAACATCATTTCAAAATGCTTTGAAACATGTTTCCAATTCACCTAAAGAGAAAGGACCCTATCCTTTATCCATTTTTAAATGTGGAAGGGGATTTGGTTTGGGGGTTTGATTTTGTTTTATATTTATTTGTAGGTATATTCTTAGAAACTCGTTTTTCTGGCTTTTATGTGTCTTATATTTATGAATTAGCATATATGTATGTATATGGGTGTGTGTCTATGTCTGCCTATACACATATATACATGAGGAAATTACAGAACTAGAGCATACTAAATAAAATCTTGTTATCTAAAATGGTTTATAATTGGATGGGAATTATATTCTTTCCTTTGTGTTGCAGTCTTGGATGATGACAGCTTTTATTAACATTTTGAATGTCCTCATTTTCTCCACAATAACCATTTATCACAGTATTTACATAAGCAGTAAAATCGTATAATTACCACTCACTGGGAAGATTTTAATTTAGATCAGATAAATACAATAGAATGATATATCTATGTAAAATGTATATCATTGTGAAAATATTTCTTCTGGGACTATGCTGGTTTAACAAAATATTTTTAGACTTTTACATAGTGACTAAATGATCTGTCTATTTCCTAAACTTTGAAATGGAGAAAACTTGGCCTGTCTTTTGATAAAAGATTCAGATTGTGTGTTTTTCTCTATGCTTGCTTAACAAAATTTGCTAACGGCTTTCAATAACATTTCCAAATGATTTTTTCCATTTATAGAAGACAGAAAAATTACTTAAGATTTTTTTATTTATTTACTTTTTGGGGGGGTATTTTAAGAGGTGATAACTAGTTCACATATACTACATGCCATTATTATTCATAGTAATAGTTGCACTATCTATGCAATCTGTATTCACATTTTCTTTATAAAACTGCACTGTTTTCTGTCATGAAACAAATCTGGTTATTTTGGAACAGATAAGTTGTCAGATAAGGGGTTTTAAGGTTTCCTTCTTGAATTGATGGTGTTAAGCTTTCAGTCAATTTTAGTAAATGGCATGACACACTATATCCATGGAAAGCTTTTGACAAAACTTATTTATCAGAATTTCCTTGATGTATGGTTTACTCAGGTGGCTTCAGTTTCCCTTTAATAAAATAATATTTCAGTGCTGGTGCTGGAGTACAGAACAATGTTGTTACTGTGAATGCATCTTCTGCAGCTGATATCCTGTTCCCTTTCTTTGTTGATATTTTTCTTTCTTAAACTTTGTTGCTCAGAATATCTTTAATGCTAGCCAAGGAGTCAGGGATTTGGACGTATTTTCATGGACTTCCAAAGCTTTTTCCCCCCAGGTGAGTTAACTGTAAGGAACAATCATATATTATTCAGGTATTTCAGCATGTATAACAAATTTACATGATATCCTTTGAAGTCTTTGCTTAAAATTAATAATTTTTTTAACCAAAAAAGACCTATACAAAGTGCTGCAGTTGAGTTTCCCCTGTAACCCTTTCCCCTCTACTTCTCCCAGAGAGTGTATTATTAGTTTAAGTTAAACTTTTACATGACTTCAAATTCATTGTTTAATTTTATAACCAGTTTCTCCCACAATTACATCCAAGTCTAGCTTTTTCAGAACCAGCTTATTTAGGTGGGAGAAACTTGACCCTATGGTTCTGTTTTTTTCCTATTCTTTCACAATGCCTTCTTGAATGTTTATCTGAGAATGGGGAGGGACTACAAATCATATTCTGGTACCAGTCTTATTTTACTGTGTTGAATTAAACATGTACTTTAGGATTGCTTGAGAGTGAAAAGCACAGTTCTGACTTTATGTCTGTCAGTTCTTTTTATACTGTTTAGTATTGAAAAGTTGGATAGACTTTGTGTTACATTTATTAAGTAATATAGTTTATTCAATTAGGTATTTTAATAAAAGTTCTCATATATTACCTTTCAGTGAATAACTTGCAAATATTATTAGTTTTTGCCAACACACCTCTCATTGTTACCCTGAATAACCAAAAGTTGGAAATACTATTATACTTATAATAAAACGCTCCAGATGTATCATTAAATACCAATGAGATTATTTTTTCTCTAAATCTATTAATATTTGCTTGTGATTTTTGATCTTATACTATGTAATTTTTTAACTTCAGTTGTAATAAGGACTAACTTGCCTTTATCCAACTTTGAAATAGCATGATGTATTTACTAAAATTGATCACCAACAACAAAACGTTTTTAAATGTTTACTGAAATCCTTGTGAGTGCAATAGCACAATTTAAACTTTAGACCCTACTCTCAATTCATGAGTGCTCTTTGTATTCATATTGAAGTGTTTGCAAGTATACATGCATGGGTATATAAAATGGATATTTTAAGCTTATTTTAGATTGTGAATCTAGTCTGAATTTTTCAAGTAAAATTCTCATTTCCATTAAATTGCCAATATATAGCTAAAAATTTTAGGATAAGTAAAGTATGATAATTATAGTAAATGTAAATAAATATTGTCCATAGTGCATATTTGCACAAAGTAATAATTATTAATCACCACAATGATATATACAAAATATAATGTGAAGGTTGCTAGTTGCTCTAAAATTTTCCCTGCCCAAACATACTGAATTAAAGCCACAAGTACACAGAATTATTGAATCTATATTTTTTTTAACCTCAGGATTTTATTTTTTATTTCCTACTACATAATGAACATATTTACATACCTCTTAATATGAGACTATTTATAGTGATAGAGCTAATTAATAATATTTTATCTTGTATAATGTGTTACTGTTTTTTTATTTTATTCTAACATTACTAAATATTAATTCTTTAAAAAGTTGATTTTTTAAATCCTCATCCAAGGATATGTTTATTGATTTAGAAAGAGAGGAAGAAGAGAGAGAGAGAGAGAGAAAGAGAGAGAGAGAGAGAGAGAGAGAGAGAGAGAGAGAGAGAGAGAAAAGCATAGATGTGAGAGAAACATTGATCAGTTGCCTCCCATATATGTGCCCTGACTAGGAATGGAACCTGCAACTTTTTGGTGTATGGGATGATGCTCTAACCAACTGAGCCACCCAGCCAGGGCTGATGCTCTAACCAACTGAGCCACCCAGCCAGGGCTACTAAATATTAATTTTAACTTCATGTTTGAGTAAGTATCTCATTATGATAATCTTTTACTGACTTTCTATATAGAGCAATTTGTAGAGTGCATATTACTGTATTTAAGATTGTAGTTTAAATCTGTTTTAAAGAAGTAATGATGAAAATGGAAGAATTCTTGGTGTGGAACTTTGATTTACATTTAGTTGGGAGAACAAAAAATATGGGAAAGTTGTTATTCCTCTTCATTGCATTTACATAAGGAACAATTCATCACAGCACAGTCAACAGAAAATTTAGGGCATGTTCTTTTCTTTCATTGTGGAAATGACTCTTTCATATCCAAATGCATTATATCTATGTAAAAATGCCTCTTTAATGTTAATCTGTCCTCTTTACTAAAAGTATAATTATTTTCTAAAAGTCCTCTTTACTAAAAGTATAATTAATAATGGTCTAATCTAGCAAGACATTTTTATTTATACTATATTAAGAAGTATGAGTTGTTAAAATCTTATAAACATTCTTATTTCATTCATAACTAGTAAATATTAGCATGTAGGTATATTTTATGTACATTTCATCATTGTTATCTCTGTTTATAGCTAAGTCTCCAGAGCCTTCGCACTTATTTTCTCTATTTTTAAATAATTATTACAGACAAAAATGGAAGGAAATGAATATTTAGGTTTTTAACCCATACCAACATACAGTAATGCAGTAATAATGATTCAAAATTATTCAGCAATGGTTCACATAGTAAATTATTTTTGTTTCTCCTACTGTTAAATATTTTATTAAAAGAAAAATCAAGTACTATTATAGTTCTCAAATTGTGGTATGGTAGTCAAAAGTCTGGGGTTCAATAGCTGTTCTGCTATATTTTCTTCAACTTTATTTTAATTATTATTTAGCATTGAAAAACTGAATGACTCTTTAATGGTAGTATTGACTAATACTTCAGTTATCTTTGTTTGTATATTCTCTTTCTTAATTGACAGTACCTGCATTATAGAATTGTTGTGAAAGCTATTAATAAGAATATGTTGCAAGTGATAATAGATTGTATTTTGTTTATTTTCTTTTCCTATTCAAATTTTCAGGAACCTAAAACTAATACTGATGACTTTTTCAAAGACATAAACTCCTGCTGTCCACAGGAAGCAACAATGCAAGAACAAGATATGCCATTCTTGCGAGGAGGTCCGGGCATGTACAAGGTAGTAAAGACGGGACCTTCCGGCCACAACATCAGAAGCTGCCCTAACCTTAGAGGTATCCCAATTGGAATGTTAGTTCTGGGAAACAAAGTCAAAGCAGTGGGAGAGGTATGGATTCTTGTAGCTTCATGACTTTAAGATATTCATTTTTAATGTAATACAACCAAAGCATCTCTTTTTTCCAAAGGTTGCCATTTCCATCCCAGGTTTTTTAATGCTAATGTTATTTATCTTTATTTGTATTGGAAATACTAATGTAATTTTTCTGTGCTTTTCTAATAATTTTGTTCTCATAATTATCCTTGTGAAAACAATATTTATATTAACAAAATGATGTGTCTGTATATATAAGTGTTTGGTATTACATATATCTTTTTATTATTATAAATGTACTATACTGTCATGGATTAACAGCACTTTAAAATATTTGCTATGGATCAGTATGGAGATGTGATATATACAAGAGGTTTCAGTTCTTTGTTCCCATTCATGTGTCTTACTGAAGTCCTGAGCAAATAAAATTACCATTTCATCAACTGTGGCATTTGCCTCAGATGATGAGCTTGAAGATGTAGTGTGTCATGCTATTTCTTAGTGTCAGGGTCATTTTCAAGTTGCATTATAGGCACTACCAACCTAAATAATGGAGTATGTTGTGTTATGACATTTTAGGTGTCTAAAAAAAGAGCCATGTGTTTTTGGATAACACTTAAAATTATTTAGGGATTATCCTTGTGCCTTAAAAATTATTTTAACAAGTCATAAATAAGCAGTATTTTACATAACTTTTATTGATTTTTGTCTTACCTTGGGCAGTGGTTTTAATTTCAGAAACTAATTTCATGGTAGATATTCATTGCAATGATTGCACTATTCAAACTCTTAAACTTTTGCTGCTTTTCAGCCTGAATGCCCTGAAAGAATCAAGCCAATCAATCATGCTTTTTGTTATGTGCTAGGTAACCAATTCTGAAGGTACATGGGTGCAGCTGGATAAGAACAGCATGGTAGAGTTCTGTGAGAGTGATGAAGGAGAGGCATGGTCCTTAGCTAGAGACAGAGGCGGAAACCAGTACCTCCGACATGAAGATGGCAAGTTGGCTTACATTTGTGATTTATTCTGATTAACCTTTGAAAGCAGAAGTTTAAAGTGTATTTCTTTTATCATAAAGAGCTTTTCACGTGTTTATTTTTTTTAAAATATATTTTATTGATTTTTTTACAGAGAGGAAGGGAGAGGGATAGAGAGTTAGAAACATCGATGAGAGAGAAACATCGATCAGCTGCCTCCTGCACACTCCCTACTGGGGATGTGCCGCAACCAAGGTACATGCCCTTGACCGGAATCGAACCTGGGACCCTTGAGTCCGCAGGCTGACGCTCTACCCACTGAGCCAAACCGGTTAGGGCTCGTGTGTTTATTTTTTTTAAGTAAAAGCAAAGCTAAGCATAATAAAATCTTGCAATTGTTAATATTTATTTGTAAAATACATGGGTACTAAATGAATGCACATCAAAGAAGAGAATTAAAAGAAAATGTAGAACATATGAATCCATCTCTGTAAGAAATGCTTTTCATTAATATGAATTTGTGAGATCATTCTTCTGTGCCAGTCCAGGACTGAATTTACCCTTCCTACCACTAAATGGAAGTTTGGTTCTCAAACCATCAATCATAGCACTTCTCCCAGGCAGTTTCATTTGATTGAATTTTGTCTCAGGAAAAAACATTGAATAAATGCAAAGCATCTTCTGGGGGTTTCCTATTTTGTTGTTAGAGTTTCAACTTGAAACTTCATTTACCTTTTTCAACAGTGATCTCATTTAATAAAATATTTTCCATTTTGTCTCCCTTTCTATTCACATGGTGGAAAAACTTGTTCTTCAGAGTTCAGACCACACTGATCTGACAGAGTCAAGAATTCCCTCAGTGTTCCCAAAGAACTGTATTCACCACTGGAGCAAAACTGATACTATATTGAAGTTAATTTTTACTTCTGCATACCCAGATTGTTCCTATGGACAGGCGCAGAGTTTTTTGCTCACTAAGTTTATAACTTTAAGTTGAGTCACAAAAATATTATTAAGGACATCAAAATAAATGGGTAAATTAAGCATATACTTTTCTACCAAATCCCAAAAATATAGAATAATGTCACATAGATAATACTATATGCTTTTTTATCTAAGAAAGAATAAACGTAAAATATTCATTATCCAAGAGGCAATATGGCCATAAATATAAATTCAAAAAAGTTTTGAAACCTGCTTGAATGATAGAGTACATTTAGATGTATTAGAATTATAAATAAAACATTCCCCCTTTTTTCCACAATAAGCCTTTGAGATAGGTTATATAATCTTCATTTTACTGGTAAGGAAACTAAAACTCATAAAATTTAAAATTACTTGCCTACGGTTATACAACTGGATAGATGGCAGATATAAGACTTGAGCCAGAATCTTCATTTCTGTTTCAAAATCTGTGCTCATTACACCATACCTACTGTATCAGTAATTCATTGAACGCAGGGAGAGGTCAATGGGGAAAAAAGGAGACATATGTAATACTTTAAACAATAAAGAATTTAAGTAAAAAATAATAATTCATTGAACATTATTTGGGAACCTACTCCCTTGTCTTTACAGATAAATTTTTCTTAGAGATGATGTGGTCATAAAATGTTGACATGGTAGAACTATTTTGAAAAAGAAAAAGTCTCCATTTGATGTAAATCTGACATTTTACAAAATGACCTCGTTTATAACATACTACATATTACCGTATATTAACTACATATTCATAAATTCTCAAAGATTTTCATTTTATAGGCATATTCAGATATAAATTAAAATACCTGAAGTGAGATCAGATTTATGTAGGATATAGTTAAATAATATGAGAATGGTTTAAGTAACTAGCAAAGGGTCTTTTCTAGCTTAATAGTCATTTTACCTGGCCATGTAGTTTAATATGTAAGAGAGGACTCTGGAGCTGGACTGCCAGGGCACAGACGCCAACTCTACAACTTTTCTAGTTATGAGACCTCAGCCAGTTTACCTAGTAGCTCTGTGCCTCAGTTTTCTCATTTACAAAATGAAGATACTTTGTGAGTTTGATATGAAAGACAAATGAACAAATAACAGTCACTTAATGATTTGCTCTTTATCTATACATATAGTCATAATGTGTCTTAATATTTTTTTACATAAACGCTGAGGTGAAAAGGAAAGAAATGATAAGAAGTTAGTGCTTTAAAACCACTAAGATTAGTTGATACAGTATCCAAATAGTCTGCTCATTGGTATTAGTATGTAACTATTTAATATGGAAATAAGAGGACTTGGCATTATAGTAATTTATTTCTATAAAGTAGTATGAGCAAAACAAAGGCTTTCCTCTTTGTAAAAATTCTTTATTGGTCTTTGGTATCCATAGTTAAAACCTAGTAAGCAAAGTTACTGCTATGGTCAAAACAGTTTACACTTGGTGCCAGACCATTTTGACTCTACAGGGTGAAAGCGATGCTATCTTTTCCATTCAGATGACTGTTCATGAGTGTTTTCCAGAAGAAATATTCCACTGCTGAAATATCTTATACTAAAGACCATTGCCTAAGGGAAGTGCTATGATTGGTTTATTGAAAAAAGTCTAAAACTGCTGGTAAAGGGTAGATTGTACACTACCATATTTACAGCAGAATTCCGATTTACCCCACCATGTTCTTCTAGTTCTGTTTTCTATTTAAAGGGATGTTGACTTTTAAAAAATAAATTTAAAACTTTTTATTATTTATAAAGTTATTTTTAAAGAAGTACTTTTCCTTTTTACCTTTCATTCAGCAGTTTTTATTTTTGCTTTTTTTTAGCTGGCATTATATGACTTTAATTAAGATATTAGTGTTTTTAGTATTATATCAGTTAGAATTTTATAGCCACTGGATTGTTAATAGAGGATTAATTTAGCTTACCAATTTTATGTTGTATTGTTGCAATTGGTAAACTAGGTAAAATATTTGCCATTTCTTTCTTGAAATAAGAATTCTGATACATTTGTTGACTTCAGGATGCATTAATAACTCTGACTACATGTCCTGGTTTATTATCTTTTTATTTAGGGAAAACTATCTTTATATAATAAGTAAAAATAAGTTAAAATTTAAATTTTCAATAATTTTTGCATTCAAAACTTAAAATATTTCACAAGTGAAAATTTCTTTTGGTACCATATACTTAGACATTTTGAAGATGTTTTTCCTGTTTGAATAAAAATATACAAAATATTTTGATTTCTGGTTATAGGGCATCTATTTTTGTTTTGTAAAATGCCCTTGTTTAAATTTGTTATAAATATGAGTTTCTGGTCCAGAAATATTAGTGTACTACATTCAGTGATGTATTTCTACCACAATAAAAGTAAATTGGCTCCATGAGAGAATATCCCATTTATAAATTTTACTGTGTATTTAATAAATGGAAACAAAGATTTGTCATGTACTTTGTCAGTAACCTAATTGGTAAACTTATTATCAGATCTAAATGTGAGGTATTTTTAAATCTGACTATCATAAACATTTTCTTGAATTATCTCTTTGTTCTTTGAATAGGGGATAACACATAAAAAACTAATTTTATAGCTTTGCCTTTTATTGTAGAACAAGTTCTTCTGGATCAAAATTCTCAAACTCCTCCTCCAAGCCCTTTCTCAGTACAAGCGTTTAATAAAGGGGCAAGTTGCAGTGCCCAAGGATTTGATTATGGACTTGGAAATAATAAAGGTAGGTTTTTAAAAGTAGTCTTTGACATACCTTATTTTAATATTTTTATTACCTTCTCTTGTACTCATTTTAATTATTCTTGACCTACAAAACTTCATTAAAGTTTGTTCCTAGAAAACTAAGAGCCAAATGTTTACAAAGATGTTTCTTTAGTATTTGTGTTTTTGTCAGTTTTAGTTTAAGTTTATAATTAAGTTTACTTATTTGTTACTATTCTAGAGACACTCATTTTGAACTTGCATCATAAAGATTTTGTGTCACTATAGTCAAAGAATTCTAATTATTAGGAGTAATGTTAATAAGCAAAAAAGAACTTTCTAAAATGATCCACTTAAAATAAAAACATTTTAAGTAATATTTTTAAATAATATTGTATATCAGTTTTATTAAATTTGTGGGGTTTTGAATGTCTAACCAAGTTATCTTAGTTCATTTACAATTGCATTACATTATATCTTTGGGTTTGGTGTTTATAATGAACCCTAAGCCATCTATAATAATAAAAGCATAATGTACTAATTAGACTGGACAGCCGAAAGACCTTCCGGGCGTCATTCCAGACGACCTTCTGGACGAAGCTACGGTGGCAGGGGCCGAGGCAGAGGCGGCCGTCACAGTGGGTGGGGGCCAAGGCAGAGTGGTTAGGGGCAATTAGGCAGGCATGCAGAGTGGTTAGGGGCGATCAGGCAGGCAAGCAGTTAGGGGTGATCAGGCAGGCAGGCGAGCAGTTAGGGGTGATCAGGCAGGCAGGCAGAGGGTTTAGGAGCGATTGGGCAGGCAGGCAGAGTGGTTAGGGGCGATCAGGCAGGTAGGCAGGCCAGCAGTTAGGAGCCAGTGGTCCTGGATTGCGAGAGGGTGCAGGCCAGGCTGAGGGACCCCCCTCCCCGCCCCCGTGCACTAATTTCGTGCATCGGACCTCTAGTATGGATATAAAATGTATGTAACTTTTTGGGCTGCATGAATGGAAAAGAGCAGCATCATGGACAGTTGAAACAATAGTTATTTTGAAACTAGAAGCCCGATGCATGAAATTCATGCAAGGGGCTCGGCCCTCGCAGCCCTTGCAGCCTCGGCCCTCACAGCCCTGGCTTTATCCTTAAGGTTGTCTGGACGTTCATCCGGAAGTTCGTCTGGACAGTCGTTCTGCTCTTTGTTCTAATTAGCATATTAGCTTTTTATTATTTTGAAATAATTTATACCTGAATTTTAATCAAAATTTCATTTGTATATAAATTCAGACACATTCATGTTCTTTCCTATGAATCTGACTCCTGCAAAATTCGCCATATAGTCAACAGGTAGCATTCAGTTGGATGATAGGTAAGAGGGAGAATAATTCATGGAAATAATTTTAATTTAAAGTGTTATTTAAACTAATTCTCCTGATGATTTCAAGAAATAAATAGTTTCATTATACCTTTCTTACAGAGCAAGTAAAATAATGAGTCTATAAAAAATAAAATTACCTCAATTAGAGGAAATATTCAATTTAAAATAAAGCCACTTCATATATTATTTTCCACAGAATATTTTTATGAAGGAAGCCTAACCACAAGATTTCCTTTTGGTTTGGCTCTCCCTACTCTGTTGTGCTGATCTCTTCTACAGGTTTGCGTACCATATGCTTACTCATTTCTGGTAGTTCAGATTTCAACTAACTTTAGCTAGATCTTCATATTTAAGTAGGGTAAATTCTTGGTGGTGTTTTCTTTATGTCCCTTTCAACCTTTGTCAATCCTTAAGTTAAAATCTCGACGCTTACTTACCACTACTATACTTCTATAGTAATCTGTTTTAAAGCCATGTTTAGTTCAATTTGTATGTTTTCAGTCTCTAAAATGTCTAAATTGTACTGGTGGCTATCACTTTAAAATCAGTATTTAAAATATAATTTATAGGGCATCCATAAAAATCAACTTTTAAGAGATACAAACATTGCCGACAACATGTGTTATTAATAAAAATGATATATTACTTTTTAGAAATGTGATTTGCTAATATGGCTCAAAAATAGCATGTAATTATTAATAGGCTTTTAAAGTATTTAGGTGAAGCAAAGAAATATTAAGAACTTTAATCTGAATAAATATCTAACATTTATTTATTATCATACCTTTAATAATAGTTCCCATTTTATTTAGCTCATACTATTCAAGATCAAGAAATTATTTTTCTTTATAAAATTCATCATAATCTTTAAAATCCTTTTTTAACCTACAGCATTAATTTTTTTAAAAAAGTAAAAATGTACAGCTTGTGTGCACAGCTCTTTCCATATAAATCTATTCCTGTTGGTGCTTCATTTGAAATGTTCATTCATGAAGGTTTATTATACATAAGAATTGTGGCTCTGAGAGGTGCTGTTTTCCAGTTGTGCCTATGTCTGGGAATATTTTTTTCTCTTTAGCATCATTTAAACTATTTTATATATATTCTCATAAATGAGAAACTATTATCTATCCAGTTACATTACTTCGTATATTTTAAAATGTTCTTTTGTTATTTTCCTTTATATTTAAGTTTAAGGGAAAATGTCAGAATTCATATTTGAGATACTATTCTAATAAATTAGATACCTCATATTCCTTTTTATCTTATTGTCATATAGATTTTTATATTACTCATTAAAGCAAAAGAGATCATGCTTTTCAAAATGTATAATTTCTTCAACATTAACTTTTAAAAATGAAAATTTTAACTATAATATAAATATATTACTAAGTTAATAACATATACTTTGCCACCCTTGAATTCCACATTTAAAAAAAAACAAAACCTCATCTTATTTGCTTATTTTTTGCATGAAGTGTACTGTATATGAGGTAGGGTGATATTTAGTCATTGTCAGGTACTACATACAAGACATTTAGATCTTCACTTATTCTTACATGATGTTCAATGTATCATAGGTTCTTCATAGACTTGGTATTCTCACATGCTGCTGCTAGATGGTGTATATGAATTTAAATCGATTTGGGCTATTATAATAGATTTTGTGGGGTGCTTCCAATAATAAAACAACATGAAACTTTTGGTCCCTAATTTGAGGATAATGATCACCAACTTCCACGTATTTCTGAATTGGCATAGTTTTATTTAGTGTTTGACTATCTGAATGTCATAAAACACGGCTTACTTTGCCATTTTGGGTGTTAATAACAAGTTGTAGTTTTGACTGTTTTGCCCACTGCAGGTGACCAACTGAGTGCCATATTGAATTCAATTCAGTCACGGCCCAATCTCCCAGCTCCTTCCATCTTTGATCAAGCTGCAAAACCTCCCTCTTCCCTAGTCCACAGCCCATTTGTGTTCGGACAGCCCCTTTCCTTCCAGCAGCCTCAGCTTCAGAGTAAGTCTGTCAGTCTTACCTGCCTCATTAAGCTATTGCTGAAGCTTTGTTTTGAGTTGTTTATCAGTTACTAATTATTTATCAACTCAACAGATTGGTTTTACTTAATGAGGACTGTTATTCCTTCCCACATTTTTTAAGCATTTAAGCTATTCTGAGCTAAGACATTCTGCAGCTAAGACATTTGTTTTTAATCACACTTTTTTAAGTGTAGTTATTAAAATATGACTTACACTTTCTAATTCCTGTATATGCAAATATGTACTATAAAACATGTTAGAAAAAACATTTAATTTAAAATTTTATTTTATAATATGCATGAGTATGCAAAGCACCAGTTATAGGGATAATGTTCTTTGTTTTATGTTGGATTTTTGTTACTTAGAGATTCCCCAAGAGAATAAACCTATTTCACTATTCCAGTAGGTGGAGGAGAGAATGTACTGGGCAGGTTTGTTTCATTTAAGTGAATTTGTTGCTCATAAAAATGTATAGCAATTTAGGTTTCCAAATTTTTTCAAATTGGTTTTTCTTCTCTTGCTTTTTATTTTTTTGCTGCTGTTCTCATTCTTAACACATTAAACTGATCATTTGATTCCAGTTCAGCCTCCTAGGATTACTCTAGCCTTTCATCCATGATAATACCTCACACCAATATGGAAAATAAACCCAAAAAATTACACTTAACTGAGTGTTCCTTTATCTTAATGACCTCCTGATGCTTCCACATAAACTTCTCTAAGTTCCTTACAATATGACAGTATGTTCTTCTTGGCCTTCAGTTCACATGTTGGCTATATAATATATAAATACACTCACTGAGTGAGATAGTTTATGAAAGTCTTAGCTTACACATCCATTATTTGGATTCAAATGCATGACCTCTTTGCTTTAATAAACTACATCCACACTGATGTCTAAGTTATTTTTCTACAAAATTACTTTGATAACTGTTATTAGGATTACTTAAGATAATGCTAGTTCATTTAGTTTTTATTAGGAACCAGGGTAGTATATATATAGTTAGCAATTGATGATATTCACTGTGATATAATTATCTAACTAAGGTAAAACATATGCAAGATTATAAACTTCTAGATTTGTGCTATATATTAGGTAAGTTCAACTAATGAAGTTAGTTTAGAAATATAAGCAGTATCAATTTAGCTAATCATCTCTATATATGACATTCACTTGAGTGTCTCTTAAAAGAATTTTGAGGAAATACAATAGTGTCATATGTATGAAGTAGTTTTTTTTCTTTCTTGATAAGCATTATTGAAGGATAAAGAGGAGTAAAGACTTAATTAGTTTATTCATTTTATGGAGCAATAGACTTTTTTATTTAGATGTATTCAGGTTGCAGGAAGTTTTAAAGGTAAGAACAAGGAAAAAAACAAAGGAAAATAAGTCATAATCAGAAAATTCATATTATATGTATAAAATTTTAAACAGAAATTACTCTGATAATGTCTTGGTGACAACAGGCAGGAGAACTAAGAATAAGGAGCTGTTTGTTCTATCTAAAGCAGGGGTAGGAAACCCTTTTTTTTCCCCAAAGACCATTGGATATTTATGTCATTTGCGGGCCATACAAAATTATCAACTTAAAAATTAGCCTGCTGTATTTGGTCAAACAATTAATTAATTC